TAAATGTGATAGGAGTCGAATTCTTGCTCGATTCATGCTAGAGTTTGATTTGACTTTCTAGGGTTTTTAGCGAACATGGCAATGGTTGGATTTTTGCGTGCTTTTGGTCATGATGACTCCGGTAAACCAAAATCTCTCTTTCCCCCTTGATTTCTCTGATCTTTTTGCGTCCTTTACTTGCTTTCGATTTTAATTTCGTAGATTAGCTTAGCTTAAATCAACCCTCAATTCAAGCGATTAGCATGTTTATGACGTTTTTGGTTGTGTGACTTTGACGACTAGGTAGTGAACGAAGCTCCGAATAGCCTTCCTTTGAGAACGACTCGAGTCGGGTAACTCGGTTACCACATGCCCAAATTTATACTCAACAAAGTGGTTTTTTGAATTTACAAAATTATCCTCAAACTTGTACAATTAACCACATTATTCATCTTTACTACGAGAATGCCATTGGTAAATGACCAATAATTTAAATTTGACAGTTACATCTTAGCCATTGGAATAGTAGATCAAGTGGTCCATATTAATTCTTATTTCTTTCATTATGGATAATTCTCATTTGGGCGCATCTATATATATATTAAGAAAACTAAATAAAATATGTATAGAAATGCAAAAAATATTTACAATATATTAGTAACTAAAACTTATTTTCTATGTTATTTTAATTTAAATTAATAATATTATTTATCGATTAAAAATTGTACTAACAATAATTCTATTTTACATTTTTTAATAGATTTTTGAAAATATTTAGAATGATTATTCTTTTGGTCTCTTAATTGTAAATGAATTATGTGATTTATAAAACCGACTAGATATTTAATTGAATTGTTAGGTTATTGAATGACGTAACCACATATTTTTAACTTTATTTATTTTTTTCTTGCAAAATATTCTGTTGATAAGCTCTCATTAACAAAAATATTGTACAACGTGCTGCAAAATTTCAAATTAAATCAAATTTTCAACCAAAAAAAAAAAAAACTTATGTTCATAAATTATAGTTGTTGAACTTAAATTATAAATACATGAAATCTTTTGTTTTTTTAATATTTAGGGTGATACGGATTTTAAGTTTTTTTAAAAACTCGACGGGTGTTGTATTAGTTTATAAATACATTTTTATATGAAATAGGCGTTTCGACTCAAATTACGAGCTCGTTATTTAACATTAAAAGTCGGGCCCCTCTGATTAAAATTTCTAGATCCGTCACTGCGAGTCGACATGCGAAATGATTATATTGCCTTATAAAAACAGTAGTATTTAAAAAAAAAAAAAAAAAATGCAAGACAGATTGATTGGTAATTGGCAAATTGATTGGAGACTTGGAGTACAAATAGGTTATTTGCTAGTTATAATTACAGCATCTTTATTAATTAAACCTCATAAACGCTTTTTACACTTTCACACATTACAAGTCATTCAAAACTTGATTCTACTTTCATAAATATATCTATCTAATAACAATAAACCTCAATTGTTATGGTCCCACACGTGTCTCACTTATTTTTTATTAATATTATAAAATTATATTTTTATTATAAATTAGAACTCCTCTTTTTCTACTTTTTATAAATATTTTTATTGAGTTTATATGAGGGTTAAGAATGTAAAACTGATTTACATTTATAGACCTTAAACCTCATCTATATATATATAATTACTGGCTCATGAGCATTTAATAAAACTCTTTTCGTTTTTCCGCCTTTTTTCGTTACTTTTGTATTAATCACAATTATATTTTTTACTTATTTTATTATATAATTTCTATTATTAA